CGTCTAGAACTTATTGGTTTAATGAGTTTTATTAGTCTTTTATTCAATATTTTTCCTCTAAATTATATTTTTCAATGTTCATCATTAGCAAATCATCGAACGCCGTTATTGTTTATTTCAAAATCGAAATATTTAAATAATGATCCAATAGTTACAATTGAATGATCTAGAAGAGTAGTTGAAAATCTTAAAATATTGTTAAATAATGTCATATCTTAGAATTATCAATCATGGATTTAGTTCCTAACAACGCAATATCCTTCTGTACATTATCAACCCACATCATTATCAAATCAACATATTCCTAAACCGATACACAATAATACAATACTATCCCAATCATAAGAAATGAAATCAATGGTGTATGTGAGCACTTGAATAAAGCTAATACAGTTGTCGGAGAAACTTGATGTAAATTATTTACAAAATCTTATGCAGATACACAAGCTACAACAACAACGTTACTCGATGATAATAAAACTTATATGATAACTGGTGATATTGATCTCATGTGTTTACCTGATATTAGGTGAGAATAAAAAGCAAAAAAAAGCTCTTTCTTGATCTTATAATGCTCAAGTTTATCAATAACAATGTCGAATGATACAAGTATTCAACGTATAATTGAAGGCTTTATTCGTAGTCAGACACAAGTTATTTTTTGAAATCCTTATGCTAGTTCATTTCGTTTAACTCTTCGTCCAAATTCTGCATTGGATGATTCTCTATAACCAATTCATGTTCAAAAAGGTGTGGGTGAAGATGTTAAGACTCCACACCCACACCCTAAGCTGAAATTTGATGGCCACTCTTAAATCGCCCTGAAAAATGTTACACTTCATTTATCACAATTATATTCGATTTAATATATAGTTCTTTTTTATTTATTCAATTCAATATAATGATAAACAAATTCTTAGAATCTTCTGGCATGATGATGACGCCGATGTTGATATTGACGATTTTGACGTCGAGAGTGATTGTTGATTCTTCTAACGATGGCAACTCGACGTAGAATGCATCGAAATTTAAAAATTCGTCTTTGTCGCCATCTCCGTATCGATATGTATCTTTGTAGAATAAAATCTCGTAGCGGATCATCATTGCAAATTGAAATCGTGGAGTACGCAAGCGAATCATTGAAAAGTTGTGAATATTTGACACCGATTAAAGCACAAACACTAATTACAATCATTGGTGCATCACGCCTCATTACCCACCAGTATGAATAGGAAGACCACCAACAGAAAAGATGACTATCTCCATTTATAACTTCCGGACAGATAACAGTGGTATCATTGTTCAAAAGAGCCAAAACACCATGCCAAAGACAAGCGCCAAAGAAAAATGGATGAAACGATGAATAATAAACATCATAATCAAGGTTATAAAATATGGATATATAAACAAATATAAAAAAACTCGATGCTAATTCATTGCACCACCAAGAGAATCTAAAACGAATAAAAATGAATATAGAATGAGATCTTGAACTTCGATTTGATCATAAAAGTAAGAGTTGTGTATCGGTAATCTAACTCATAAAAAAAACTGAAGTATTTCATTTAACATCATTTATACAGTATAAACAAATATTTCTCCATAATAATTGATAAGTGAAAATGCATATCATTGCTGTACCAGACTAGTTACACCTTGTCAGATCAATTACATATTTGATCTGATACAAATCTTATCTTCTCCAACTATGTTTTGACATATTACACCGCTTTTTTTATTTCACGATGTCTGAAATACTGTATCTTATTATGTTAGATATCTCAAATACATGTAAGTTGTATCACTCTCACAAGCCCTGCAATTGTCAAAGTTCTAATATTTTTTATATAAGATAAAAGATAAAGATGACTATGTGCCAATATACCGTCGTCTTAAGTTTGATGTTCTTTTATACAAATCATCATGTATGTAACCTTCTCTTTCAATGTTTAATAACTGGAGTTGAATCTATTTTTTTAAAGAGATTTTTGTTTATAGCATCATTTAACTTGAAATATTACGTATTATAAATATTACATAATTTAAATGAATTTTACAAAACTCAACCTCTCATACTAATCTAAAACTACTGTCATTGATGCCTTAGGTAAAAATTTTTCAGATTAGTAGTTTCCTTGTCAAATGTCAGTCAATCGATTTCAGTTGATAGGCTTCGACGCAACAACGAAATGTAGATTAATCTTACTCTGACTTTTTTTTCTTAAAATTCTACCCCACCTATCGATGTATAAACGATAAAGGTCAAAATAGTAAATATCGAGGTAAAATTAACTTATTGACACTTTCCAAGGTGCGTAAGAGTCACTAACTATCAGCGAGTACTATATTAATTTTGTGAATCAGTTGATACGAATTATTTTCTTGTTCTAATGATCAGATGAAAATTCATTTGGTGATGAAATGTTAACTGAAGAAGGCTTGCAACAAAAATTGACCGTCTGTCTTTACAGAATGAATAGATTTGTGATAATATAATCTATTGTGACATATCCTCATTTTAGAGAAATAGGGAAGGAGTAAACATGATGAAACTTACCCTAATTCATTGTTTTTCCATATCCATGTAAGTACGACAAGAAAAGATGCAAGAGCGATACGCAAACAAAAAGATCGATATTCATTTGATATTCGCATATACACTTCATTTGACTTTTCCATTCATTAAAGATGTTGTTGAAATTACATCGACACATAGGTCTATATATAATATATATTTCTTTATTGACCTATTTGCGCACCGACCGTGCATTTTTTTTTTCTTTTCTGAACATTGTTCTATCGTCCGTGAGTGTCAATAAATATTAGACTGCTTATTTTCCATTCGAATGGCATTGAATTGGCCGAAAGAAAAAATAGCGAACGAAAGAATAGCGAAAAAAACTGATGAAAAGAAAATAGCGAAAGAAAAAATGTCGAGAAAAGAATGGCGAAGAAAAGAATACTGAAAATAAAACGGCGAATATAAATTTTGGCGAATCAAAAACATGTCGAAAGATTTATAGCAAAAAAATAGAACAGGGTGTGGGTGTGGGTGGGTGTAGGTGTGGGTGGGTGTAGGTGTGGGTGTGGGGTGTGGGTGGGTGTGGGTGTGGGTGTGGGTGCGAGTGCCGGTGCGGGTGTGGATGTGGGTATAGGTTTGGGCGTGAATGTGGATCTTCTCCTTACTCACACCCACACCCACACCCACATCCACACCCACCCACACCCACTCACACCCCGTTAGAAAAAGCCAACTTCGGTCGAGTTTTTCGATTTTGTGATTTATAGCTCATTAGATAGAGCAAAGTGTTCATTCTCGGGTGCACTATAGTTTATTGACTTTATGATGAGGTTCAAGAATATTACATATATTTTTCTGAATCCTCACACAGAAGAAAATAACTTTTTTTTCTAAAAATTTCTAGAAGTTTAAATAATGGCAATATTTATTCTATGAAGTGCTGTGCTTTTCACGCTCATTCGTATTTTTGAATACGCTTTCGTCGTAAGCATGAATGCTTTATGATTTGGAAANGATTGACATTGGATTAACAATTATGAATTGAGCTTATCACAAATCAATAGCAACCTATATATGAGCCGCAATCTTCATTCTCTTACGGTTGAATCAATATATTTTTTTATGCTCTGTTTAATTGGTGCTCATTTCACCTATTTCTTGGTGCTCTTTTCACATTTAATCAGTTTGGTGCTTATTTCACTTATTTCTTGGTGCTCAAAACACTCCCTACCCCACCAATATATTCTCTTATGATCTATCAATTAATCCTCTATATGGTTTACAATGAAAATATCATATACTATTACTGATATTTGAATAAGATTCTTCAAGTAAATATTTGCATTTATCGTTTATATCAATTTTTGGTATTATCAGTTAAACTTATCAAGCTCTTTTTTTGGAGCAAAGCTATTCGACATTATCAGATAAATCACAAAAAAAGCTTACTAATCAACATAATGGTACATATCATGTTGATAGGTAGATTCTACTTCAAATACATAGTACGATGGAATTTTCAAAAATTGTTATGAAAATAAATTTATGCTTTGCCTGAAGTCATATGTGAATTTACAGATAAATTTTATTTTAGATGCAATTTTGAAAATTACTCAACAAATAAATATTTTGAGTAAAATAATGTTCAACTCTATGTCTAATGTGAATCATTGCTATGTTATTATGAAAACTGCATCGATTATATATTATACTGCACTTGACTCTCACTATAGTGTCAAACACATCGATTTTTAAATACGCTACACAATGATATTAAACAAAATCTTACATATTGCTTTGAATATATGATATTCGATAGAGAAGATGTCTTGGAAACTCACAACTAATCCTTTGACAGTAGCAACCGTATTAATTAGAATTTTGGTAGCAAACATGGATCTTATGGATTCTGCTGTTCTAACGTACTTCATAGATTGCAAGACGACACATGAAAGAATGTGTTAAGACACAGTATATATTGTGTCCCGCTATATCTAAGATTATTTTCTGATGGTGCATGCAAAAACATCTATGACAGTGTGATCATTTTTTTAATCTCTTAGATCTGATAGATATCACTTGTAAAACCGTTGAGAGTACAACATTGTTGGATAGACACAACATTTTTCTCAGCCATTTAATTTAGGGACCAGGGCGTGAAGGCAGAATATCGATATCAGCTCATTTCGTATTGTTCTATCAAGTTATAGTTACAATCATTGTGCTTTTCGATAGTTCTTTTTTTGAAAAAGTTTTCGCCAAGAGTAACAAAAATATACGGGTAACGCTGTTTTGCAGACAGTGACAAATATCAAATTTTTGACTTTTGATCTTTGCCTCGCTCATCTATCCGGTTCAGTAATATCTTTAAGAAGAGTTTGGATTAAAAGAAAACCGATGATTATTGTGAGACGGATTTATTTTATCTCAATAATTGATAAATCTTCACAAAAAAGAATGCAAACGTCATTATAAGAATTCAGTTCGGCATGGAATTTTTCGGACAGTTGAGATCAGTAGACCAATCATCACTACCAACACAATTCTTACAAATAAATAAACCATTCGGATCGACAGCGTTTTTTATTGATTTTAATCGATTGTAGTGGGCTTGAGTACCGAAAAATTTCTGTTGCCAATCAGGTTCATTAGGATCAGCCTCATTTAAATAACAACTTGATTGTGAACCACCGGCCACAGTTTGAAGAAGTTCGACTTGAGTTCGTAGGTGTGAAGCAAGAAGTGTTTGATCAGCTGCTGATGTATTTTCATACCATCCTTGTATAAAAATGATCTGCATCAGCGCGGTACGCCAGGCAGGATTAATGCTATTATTAATCGATACTTTGGATACTTCCCCACCAGCTACAAAATGTCCACCTATTATGGATTGATTTTTTGAACGACCTCTAATTCGAAAGAGTACTTCAGCTAATTGATCAGGTTGTTGACGAACAATCGTTTCAGGAATGAGACGAGATCCAAATAGAACATGGCCACCGCTTGAATCTGATGAATTCATGATGTATGTAAAATAATCATAAAATGTGGGAAACATAGTAGTGAAATTCGCATTGAATTGTAAATCTTTATTATTTTTCATGAATTCATTGAAGATCGAAGTAACTACTGTAAAATTACCATTCGGTACAAAATATACAATATTTAAAGTCAAATCTATCAAATAAAAATAGCCGGAGTAGTCAACATCAGCTAATGTTGGCATAAATCGAATGAAATCTAGAATCAAGCGAGCATAACGTACTTCATTCGTTGCAGAAATACTATAAATAGTACTGACAATCGATGGTGAAGGAAACGTGCGCAAAACTGCCGAAAGCACAACAGCAAAAGTTTGACCACCCCCACCACGTAAAGCCCAAAACAAATCTTGATTTTGACAGGCATTAACTGTTCGACGTTGTCCATCAGCCGTCACAACATCAAATTCGAGAACTTGATCAGCAGCCATTCCTTTCCAGCGTGACAATGGTCCATGACCGCCACCTTGTAAGTATCCACCAATGGCACCTACGGTACTTGATATGCCACCAATCGCTATTAATTTGTACCTCGCTAACCAAGAGTATACTTCACCCCATTGTACACCAGCACTTAAACGGATTGCATTTGAGACGATTTCGCCAGTACATGACGTATATTGCTCAAGTAAATTCATATTTTTCATATGATGAAGCCAGAGAAGTAAAGAATCAGCAGCTGTCGATCGCCCTAAATAATCATGTCCAGTACTTTTTATAACTAATCGAAGATTATTCACACTAGCCAAACGTATTGTTGCTAGAACATGTTCGACTGTTGTAGCATTAATTCCTAATCGAGGAATAGATCCTTGAGTACATGTCACATTTCCAGGATCACCTGAGCAGGAAACATTTTCCCAATTATAGTTTTGCATCGATCCGATTTGATCAGCTCGCCATGTCGAATTCGTCCATTGAGAAAGAGCACTATTACAAACCTCCATATTTGGTGGATTACCAACACAAAATGAAGCAGTTGATCGAACGGAAACTAATCGTCCATCGATTGATTCATTAAAATTTTGCCAAACTGATGCATTTGGCCAACATGTTGGATTGCTCATTAAACATCGACAATGTAACTCTTGTGAAGATAGAACAACAACATAGTAGTTTCCATACATAGTAAAATAAACAATCTCTTTATGCTTGCTCAGAAATATAGTGTGCTCCAAGTTTTTCTTTGACTAAAGCAAGAACGAACCTTTCATTCATATTAACTGCCATCATCATCTGATTCTTCTAAGTTATTCTGTGACAAATTTATATCATCGTTGCGTTCATCAGAAGATATCTCACCCATTGCCATTCTTTTGAAGCATCATGCCGATTCCCTCTTCAAAGTAGCTGTCTACTCTTTTAAATGTATTTTAACATTTTCGAATGTGTTCAATATATTAAAGAGGCCATATAGAAAGTCTTTTAAAGCATTGGCTTTAATGTAAATTCGTCATTGAATCTATCTGTATAGAAGAGCATACATAATGCCATAGATCTACTCATGTAGTTTTGTTAGTCAAACGAAATACATATAACCTCGAAATCCAACGTGGTTGATAACTTTCACTTACAGCTATATTCACAGAAGCTGAACAAGAATGTAACAGATATGTATGTCTCAGTAAATATCGATTACCTCTTGAAATACAATAGCTCCTATAGTAAGATTTGTGCAGACTGATAGAAGATGCTATGATCTATCTAGTCATGGTAATACAGCTAGAAAAAATAGTTGTAATATCATGATCTAATTGGCTCATCTTTGGCATACTTAGAAAAGTACATCCTTCAAAGTGTGACACATACTTAGCTTCGTTGGTGGTTTGTGTTCTCCGAAGTTTCGTATCAACTGGTGACTACCACTGGTTTTTAGCTGTTTCCGTTATTTGAAAAACCTTTGGAGCACACTCTATCCCTCAAAGAACATTTGCTTCTAATCTTCTCGAAAAATAATAGTTAAAACAAAAGTGCACAAGTTTAACATATTTCCATTTCAGTTGATTTGATGTGGTTTGATATGCAGAATTCAAGCAATCAATGAGTAGTTAGAAGATAGATCATGAATCATTCATAATCAGGCACACATCAGAGGCGAACTAAGTTTAAGATTTATTCGTGGGTAAAACTTTGAATACTCGGTGTAGTACTTATGCTTAGTTTCCTAAGATAGTCTAGTGAAACATTTATGTGTTTATATATAAAAGTTAGATTGCAGCTATCTAATAAAGAAAAGGATTCAATTGAATGGAAAATTGGAAGGAACTCTTTGAGTAAATCATCTATTTCATCCTCTATTCTTTGCTTTTGAGTCATCACCGGATCTTCATTGAATGTTGACAAAGGAGAAAAAGAAAAATGAATCTTCATTTTTAATCATTTTTTGTTAACATCTCGTTCACGAATAAGAGTCGATATTTAGTTAAACGTTTCAATACAAATTTATTCCACTTAGATTGGAAAATTTTAGTTGACATGTTCTTCGTAAATAGTATAAAATTTATTTAGATTTCTTGTGAAAATCAATTATACAGTAGACGAATTGAAACGTTTTTGCGAATCGATTAGGATTACTACAATAGAGATAGTATATTTTAGTACAGACAGTTTATCTCTTTTGTTTTAAAAATTAATACATATAAATAGAACCATAAGTTTGAAATGTCTCATTTTTCCAATGATATTTATTCATTGGTTTTTATCCCGTTTTCTGATGTGAAGAAAAGTTTCTTATTCATATCTTTTTTCTAATGCTGCACTGTTCTCTACACAATTTCTATGCTAGCTCTAGTTTTATGCTGTAAAAGTAAAAACTTTAACTATTTTCTGTACATGAAAAGGATAAACGCAGAGTAACATACTTATTACTTAGATTTATTATATTTTTCAAATTTTCACGGAATTTTCTTATGATGTTTTCTTTATAAATTATTTATTTAAAACAGAACGAATCTATCCCGATGTAATTAAACAGAAAATAGTTCTATGAGTATTTTTAGTAAACCTCTAAAGTACACAAAAATTATATGAGAGTACTCATAAAACCACCAACACTACTCGACTGGTACTCGATTTTCGTACTCAAAACGCATAAGTCCTCATAACTTATCGTGACATTTTCTAGCGTGAATACGTTTTCAGTACTCGCATACAAGTATCTTTACTAGGGATGTAGTAGATGAGACTTGTAAAAGAGATTTCAGCCTGTTTTCATTTAGTAGAAGCGACAATTCGAATACTTCCTGGCTAATTTGTAAGAATTAAAAATATTTATTTTCTGTGAAATAAGAAAAACAACCAACTTCTACACCGCGTTTAACCAACGGTTTTCGATTGGTTTGAGCAACATGGGTACTGACTGCCATATATTTTATTTTAGTATGATATATAAATTCATTTGATGAAATTTACCTGCTATAATGAAATTTTGATCAACAATAATAAGTAGAATAGAAAATAATAGTTTGAACATGTATTGTTCGGATTGTATTAAATTACCTCAGTAATGCTGCTTTTCTAGTGAACGACATATAGATATATATACACAGAAGCTTATCTTTGTGTTGATATTTTACATCCCTTCTCTTTTACTTGTAAGGATTCTGATTTATTTGTTGTAAGCAAATGTTACTTTTCACTTTGATCTATCGCAAATTACAGTCGGTATTCTAATACTTAATCTTTATTGGATAGGAGTAAAATTTTCAGCATTTTATTATAGAAGAAAATTTTATTGGTAAATAAAATATTTATTGTAAATTTGTTTTTTTTTCTTTCAATGAACTCTATTGAAGTATCACATTATTCTATTGTTCTAAGTAAGTCATGCACTCTTTGACTTTACCACATGAATCTTTCATTGGAGAATAAAAAAATGAATGAGATTACTAATCTTTGCTTCTTTCTAGTTGTGAACGATTTGATTGTAATTAGTAGAATTACAAATATTGATTGTCAAAATATATTCCTTTGGAAAATTTTATTCATTAACAAGGACTTACTAAAAAGGGTGTGGGTGTGGATGTCAAAAAGAGAAACACCCACACCATTATTTATAGACTTCATACTTAGCGACCTCGTACAACCGTTATTTAAGCTAGTGACACCGTGGAACCGGTTGTACCTTTTCCTGGGGTCTAAGGAAAAATACTTTCGTGATAGAAACCCATGTGAGTGTATGGAGTGTAGGTGTGAATTGTGGATGTGGGGTCTGGGTGTAGGTGTGGGTGGGTGTGAGTGTTATCATTTCTGTATACCCAACCCACACCCACATACCCTGAATCTTGTTTTCTATAGATTATAAAACTGGTGAATGGAAAATAAATGATAAAACAGGAAAATGAGAACGTCTATGTACTTATAAAGTCAGTGTTGCTGCGGTTTTTGGTGCAACAACAATTTGTTCAAATGAAAAACAAGTAAACGAAAAAAAAATCTTTTATCTTTGATATTTCTATTTTATTATTTCTAAATCTCAATTGAAATAGGTTATTCAATGTGAATTATCAAAATCTCATTATATAGTATAGATACAGATGTTCGAAATGAAGGTATTAAATATGCTGATGCTCTTTTTTTGTTGCATCTCGTTATTGTCTTGCACAAACTGGACCAAATAGATCACATTTAAAAGTTACTTGTGAAGTTCGATATCTTAAAAGTTTAATGATTATTTTCATATGTAAGTTAAATTTTAATCATAGTTATTCAAAATATTTCGATTGAACTATATCAAAATTCACGTTAATCACGTCATTTCGCATCATTTTTTTTCTTTCTCTCAATATTGAAAGAAAAAATTCCTATTGTTTGTTCTTCTGTATATTGTGTTACGTAAACGAGAATATGTTGATGATGTCAGACTCAATAAATCATCACCAAACAATAAAACTATTGAGAGTTCAATGAGAAAGAAATAAATTTTCTTTGTATTCGTAAAAATTGTTGAAATGAAAACAAGAAAAAATGTAAAATATTTTTCTTGTCAAATAAAATTTCAACTATTTTATTCTAAATTCAGCGTTCATCGAAAACAAATGCAATGACTGCTCATCAAGATTCTTATACAGATTTAAGAAAGTTAAGATTTTTTTGTTTTAATTATTCATGTTTGATTAATCTTTAAAAGATAATCGCATTGAATTATCAACATCATCTGATAATTTACTTGCTTAAATATTTTTTCTGTGTTAAAACTTTTAAAAAATTATTCTTTTTGACTTTTTGTTTTGATAGCAAAATGTGTACTTAAGGTGAATGTTCAAATCGTCAACGAACTTCGAGTTTAGTGATAAATAATAAAAAAGATAAAGTTAATCAAACAATTGAACTATCAAAAAGAAAAACAATCAATTGAATCAAATTCTTCAATAGAAGATTTTTCAAAAGAACAAAAATAATTAAAAACTATTCACAATGAAATTATTCATCATGCTTAAGGTAATACACATCTTTAATTATTATTAAAAATAACAAATCTATCAGTTAATCTTTTCTCTGTGTTTTCAAATTAACGAATAATCTTTAAAAAAGAAGTAAAAGTGAAAATAGACATGTTCTTTGTTTTCTTTAAAATGAATTCTTATGATAAACTAGTTCATATTAAAAACTTTCACTATAAAATGCATCATCAAATCCTTCCAGTCAATATAATTATATGTATATATGTTTTAGTATTGATCAGATTTTAAAATCCAGATTTTCTTGAATAAAATTTAATAAAACTCGAAGTTTTTAATTCAAATAATTGCATAGAATTTTTCAAAAGGAAATTCAAATTGATAATTATTCTAGTTATCTTTTAATTAGTCTTAAAATGAAATAGTTAAGTTAAAAAATTCCATTATATTTTAATTTAATTTTTTTGTTGAAAAAATTACTAGGAAATAAAATAAAACAGATTTTGTATTCGAAAGGACAAGTGGCGGTAAGGCCATTTTCTCGCCCAAAAATTTTCTCAAAAAGAATTATATATTCGGAATCAGCATTAAATTCTGAGTAAAATGAGGT